TCTCTCTCTCTCTCGAGGTCCCGTTCTGTCGATGCCCCACTAATTTAGCGTGTCTTGTGTCAAAGTAACGTGGTCTACCTTTTGTATAGCGAGTCGTGGTAACAACGTTGCTCAGAGCATGTACTATATGAGGGAAGCAAGTGAAAAGTGAAAAAGTGTAGACGACGGTGAAAGACAGAGAGAGAACAATAGTTTCGGCCATTTTTGGGTCATTTTGGGGCCATTTTGGGTCATTTTGGGCCATTTTTGGGTCATTTTTGGGCCATTTTTGGGTGATTTTTGGGCCTGATAGTAGAGATGCAAACGACCAATCACGTGCGAGAGAGAAAGGTACCCAAAATATTTTCTCTTTCTTTCATCTTCGTCTGCACTGTCGCTGTAAGCTTGGTTCCTTTATATGGTATGTGCTCTGAGGCTCGGTGGTTCTCCTGGGCCGTTTAGTAGGAGTAACCGTAATAATTAATGGAGGCTGACGTTCAACGGCCTGGGTAGATGACCGATTTCGTTGTTTCGCTTGGACGTTTTGCGAGGTACTTGAATATTGTGTGGATTTTCTTTCTTACTTTCTTTCTACACTTGGTTTCCACCCGGCGAACGATATTTGCAAAATGAATATCAACGAGTGCCATCGGAACGGAAAGGAAAAAAAAGAGAAAAACACGGTTGGCCTTTGGCGAGAGCGATTCGAGCATCGATTCCAGAGTTTAAAGAGAAATTATTTTCATCAAATTGTCTATTTTCATCCTCGATCCGTGAATTTTACCACCGATGGGCGATAAACGGAGTCGGAGAAGGAACAGTTACCATAGGGAAGGTCGAATCGCTCGTCCAAAGGCCATTATAATCTAGAACGACGCCTTTCTGTGCGTCGTTCCTGCAGGAAGTACCTACATATTTCTAATGATAATAAGATAATATTAATAACGATTTAATAACTTAATAATAGAGAGTGCGATTACATTGAATGATCATTTTTTTAACGCATACTATAATCGCCACAGCACGTTGTGGCGAGCTGCGGTGTGATCACACTAATTAATCGGTCGGACGATCCATTAACTTGGGTGTGTTGTCGATTATGTACGGAGTCATTAGATCCCGGAGCTGCTCCGCAGGTATAGAAAATCTGGCACGTTCGTTTCTGTCACTGCGCATCGCTGCTATTTAGATTTAAACTTGTCACATTTTCTTGGTACCTGCTAGGCGAGTCCGGAATCCGACGAGCTGTACGTTAAAAAATTAATCGTAGATGACATCCAGAATAATCTACAGACGAAACAATATCGACGATTGTAAAAATTAGTATACGTCCTCATATGATTTTGAGTCGTTAACAGGTAATTGCAAGAGTAAAAACTGCAAGTGCTCGGTCCCAAGTGAAAGTAGATGGGCGTCGACCTGTGCAGTGCGTTTGCTCGTTGTAATAAAACAGAACAGGGAAAGGAATTAAGAAAGAATAAGAACGGTTATGTGTTACTAATGCGTGTTCGAAGTTTTCGATGATCGGCCTATTTAATAGTCTCGTTCGAACGTGTACGAACATCGAACACTTAATACAATGTGAACCGTGACAAGCGTTTTGCGATCGCTGAAATGCCTGTCCCCACCCCCCCCCGTTCCCGTCTCGTTGATCTATCACTTCTTCGTTTCCTGTTTCTCGAAAGAAGAAACAACGACAAACGAAATCCTTGAAAATCGTGCAACCAGAAGTATGGCGAACATACCGACAGTCATGGCCATTTATACTTCATGTCACCATGTCATTTTAGTGTTCCTCGAATTCGCTGTTTGACTTTTTTGCATGAATCCCATGGATCGATGAACAGAAAAGAAAGTTGTACACAATATACCAATATATAACTGTCGTGTTCGCCTGGAATGACCGAGAGATGCCTAATCGAGGGAGTTCGCCCCCGATACAATTTTTTTTGCTAACTCCTGCCTGCCTGGTGTGTGAAAACTGTTCGCTCAATGACCGGGGGAAGGACCCGCGCGTGGACCAATCAGGTAACAAGTTTCATTCTATCTACTGTTCTTAATATTGTCAAATATTAAACCCCTGCCATTGGAAACGTTACGACACGTGACTCTGACGATACCAGGACAGTGGAACCAATTGTAGCTTGCCCAGATATTATTTTATATTTTTTTTTTGAGGGGTTTATTCATCTGCAGTCTTTAGACCCAGGAAGTGCCTTCATTCCTATCTCCTAGACCTCCAGTCCTTCCTCTCTACTTTTTCCATCTCGCAGAGTGATGCCTATGGAGCGGAGAAGGAGGCTTCAGTAGGTAAACCCAGTGGGATAAATCCTACCTAAAAAAAACCCATCCTGAGATGGTTTGGGGTCTTGGGTGTCCATTCCCTTTGGGTGTCAAGGTCATTGTCTTAGGCTTAGACACCTAATTTGAACGGTGACCTTGTTTAGTGAGGTACAACACCTAAGCTAAAGTGTCACAAGCCACCCATCCAGGTACTGATCGCCCAAGGTGCCAACCTGCCAGCTCCCCAAAGCGTCGATTATATTTTTTTACATCGAATCTTAGGCTACATGATGACCAACAGTACTTGACTATTCAAATCAGACTGAAGGACGCACAGACTGAACACGTAACCCACCACGCCATGATTATGAATTGTTAGGATTGACCGATGGTACGTGTGATATGTTTGCAGTGGCACCGCCCGTGACGCCGCCGAAATAAACCTCGGGAATGCGATAGGACGAAAAATCGACACCAGTCCGGAACACAAAGAACATCGTCAGAATGGCACTTGAACACCACCCACCCAAGCAACAACCCGCAAGCTGACCGATGGGATCGAGCGGAATTTAAAAAAAGAAAAAATAAGATAGAGAAAAACGAAAAAAAATTACCACGTACAACATAAAAGAACGCAGTCGCATACGATGCAGAGAGGAGGAGCAGAGATAAAAAATTGGGCGCGTTTCCCTTTAAGAAAGGGTTTACCCGTAATTATCGGTAGAACGAGTATGGCGAGTTATACTTTTTTTCGTTTAAGGTTTCGCGGACATGGGTGTTGTTGATTTTCATTCGAGAAATCGTATCGCTCAATTGTCTCGATTTGAAAAAAAGACGTTTAGTTAAAACATAGGCTGTGTTATTCGAGCTGCAGGTGTCGTTGTTTGTTATTTAAACTAGCAGGGCTAGCTCGCTCGCTAAAGAAGTATACCTGATACCCGTTAAAGAATTTCGCTATACTCGTTCCACCGATTCTGCTCAATATATAGTGACCTCGCCCTAGTAGAGGGCTGTTCAGGGATTAAAGAGACAAATCCACGGGGAGGGGAGGGGGGCTTAGGAGGTTAGGTCCATCCAACGCGGTGCGTTCTTTCGCATAGATAAAATATTTGAAGCCAAGCTTCGAAAAGAGGGAGCGTTGTAAAAAAAATATATATATATATATAAAAAAAAACGAACGTCTGATCGGAGCAGCTTGCCGCTTTCCCCGAAGCTTAGCCGTTTGGGAGGATCGAACAGACGCGGCAAAATTCCTCTGCCGGGCGCGAATCAGAGAAATCGTAAAAAAAATAAAAGGTATGAGAATTCGTGTAGGAAGGGAAGACGGGAGAAGGAGCAAGCCGGAAAGGCGGGCGAGCAGGAAGAACTCGCGGGATGGAGGAGGGGAAACAAGTCGAGGAGACGATTTTTAGTAGGGATCGAAGAATTATTGTAACGCGCGAGGACAAGTGAAACCCCCCGACCCTCCCGAATTTACACCCCCCCCCCGATTTCCCGGCTGATCATCGCGCCACGCACTGCCGCTGCTTTTCCGTTTCGTCTGCGAGATTTCGGGAGCTCCATCTTGTAAGTTTTTCGCGCGTTCCTCGTCTAGCGGACGGTACGCGTGTCCGCCAGTGCCGACGCAACGTCGGTGAACCAGACACTGGGGGATCTAAGTGATTTAAAACGAGAAACCAAGAACGACAAACTAATTTTAGGGTTCTCCTGTTTTTAGAGCTGCGTACGAAGGGAACGTTGATTCTAGTGGTTATTAATATTCTTTAACGTTGATAGAGTTTCTTCCGATTGACACTTATTTTATTTTCCTTTCAAGCGATTACCGAAAGTTACTGTGAATGTCGTTGGTTTGTTAATCGAACAGGGAACGTGTTATTTATTTTCTTCTTGCGAGTAATTTCTTCATTTCCCTCCCCCCCTCCATCTTCCGTTCCTGCAAGCCAGCTCGTCGTCGGTCTCTGCCTTTCCTCCCCTGTCCCCCCTCGGAACTACTATTCCCCTCAAGGATCGATCCTCGTTATTGGAATAACGAGTTTAAGATAATGGAGGAAAATAAAATCGAACATAATCCGTTTTATCGGGAGAGGAAACGCGCGGGTCTGCTGACACCGAAACGAGGGCACCGGCGCGTGGCAGAAATCGGAGAAGCGTTACCTCCCCTTCGTCGTTGGACCGATTGGTGTTTCACGACGAATAACGAATCAAATAAAAAAATATTTCTGATCGGTGACGTAAATTTCAACGGATTCCTCCTGGGAGCCTTGGAACGCTGGCGAAACTTACGCCATCTACAGAAGAAGAAAGGGGATAAAATCAAAAAACAATCGTGGAAGTTGGCGAGATTGAAAAATACTGTAAATACAAAAGAGATCGCACGTTGTCGTGACGTTTAAACAGAAATCGATTATTATTATTATTATAATATACATATATTAACGGTTAAGAGACATTAAATATATATATATATACATATACATATATTTTTCTTCACGAAGGAAAGCGCACAGACGGGCGCCTCTCGAGCGAGAAGGATTCGACGAGACGGTCACACCTGGACATCCTCGTTTCCCGCCTTCTTTCAGAAGTTAACCTCTCTTCCACCGTCGTTCCTCTTTTCAGCAATCGGGAACAACGTCTTCCCTCGATCTTCCTATTAAGACTGACAAAATATTCGTTTCCTTTTTGGTTGGACTACGAAGAGGTGAAGCTGGAATCGAATCGGTTGCTCCTAACCTGTAGGACACAATCGTCGCCATTTTTTTTTAATCCCGCTACTTCGAGAGCCGAGGAAAGCTTCTAGAAAGATCCTAACGAACGTTTGTTTCATGACTCGAAGGAGAGAAACCGTGTAGTAAAGTGGCAATAAATAAATATCTTACAAACTGTATTCGCAAGATACTATAGATAAGTTTACACTGTTGGCCGGTAGCGCAATCTACGTAATTTTTAAACACTACAAGCTGTGTCGTATTACTAATGCAACGATGTTTCAATTGATCATTCTCTTATATCTTCTCTTGTCTTTCTACATACATATGTATTCTGTCACCCCGTTATCGTATTTTAAAAGTGTCTCTGCTTGAAGAGAAATTATCCAATTTAGATTGTAAGTAATAATGTTTAAAGAAAGATGGATCAATTTGCATAGTCATTTCTCATCCCCTGTTGTAACAATGTCAGCGGGCGTTGCCTAATCATTCTCGCTCGAATCGTCCGAGGCGGAGTACACTCGAGAACTTCGTTACATATTCTTCTGATAAACGGCAGCAAACCTTGCGTTATTTTTAATGTTGTACATGAACTCTGTACGAATAAAGATTTGGAAAAGATGGCGTCGAGACCGATCCCAATTCTCCATTCTGTTAAAAAATATTCCAATTAGGGACAACTTCGTACAGGGAGAAAAATAGAACTCCAGTCATTTTTAAAAAGTCTTCATTCTAAATTTATAGAGATATTACGTATACAAGGGGGGGAGGGGGACACTTAAAAATGGCCACCTGAATAATTTTGCTCCTATTAGTGACAGAAAAAAATGCATACAGTCAAAATTATTTGGTATCGAGGGACTGATCATCAGTTTTTTGGTAGGTGGAGGCGTCAAGGAGATATGAAGGTCATCCCTATTTTTTTACTTACATCCTGATAAGAGTATTTCAAGACAAATACAATGTCCTACTGTGAAGGTCATTCGTGGTCTAAGTTAAGCCAATTGTGATGGAAAATAGTCAAATTTCCCTCTGTTTAAAAATATTTCAAGTACTAATTTCGAGATAAAAGTAGAACTCCATTACTTTTTTTTTAAAAAAAACTTCTTTATTCTAAATCTATAGATATCACATAATACATATAATTGTATTTGCTCTCAACGATCAACGCTGACTCAGCCTCAGTCATTCTCGTCTCAGGCATACTCGAATAAAAATTAGAAACTATACAACGAGGCTCGCGTTACGTAATAACGGCGTGACAATAAATACAGGGTAACGCGATTAACAGGATCTCCGCAATGGAATTATTCGTTGGTGAGCGGAAGATCAATTAACGTTAAGTCATCTGCGTCTGCAACGCGATCTCTTGTACTCGCTGGTTGCACAATTCGCGGATCTCCTGGATCGGCTTTATCAGGAAAATTGGCACGTCGTCGTCCCGCCTCTGCAATCACCATCAACTCGATTAATAATCACAGACGATCATACTACATACAATGTACATACATAGTAAATGTCCTCATTTCTGTTCATATCACAATTTCCTTTCACTGACTTTTATATATATAATATATAATATTCATATAATAATAATTATATATTATATAATAAATAGAATGTTTATATATATAATATATAATATTCATATAATAATAATTATATATTATATAATAAATAGAATGTTTAAATATGTATCTATATTATAATATATAAGCTTCTCCCCGCCTGTCGCAGGTCTGCTGTCCTCAGCTAGGCCCTCCGGGTTGCCCTTGCTAAGGCGCACACACACAGGCACACATACAAATACTCTTTAGTAGTAATGGACTAACTAGGCTGTCCGGATGGGTTGCCCTTCCTAAGGCACACACACAGACGCACATGCAAATTTAGTAGTAGTGGACTAGCCAGGATGGACACTCATACAAATGTCCTTTAGTAGTGGATTATATATACATAATTTATCTATATATATATTATTTTATATGGGATTTTAATTAGAAATTGTGAGATGAACAAAAACATTTACTATAATCCCATAAAATATGGCAATTTAAGAATTTACCTGGAAGAGAACCTCGCCTTCGAAGTCGACGAATTTCTGTTTCCTGGCCCTCAACAGAAGACCGACGCATTTGTCGCTGATGTGGGTGTAGATATTAAATAAATCGCCGAACGTGATCGCGATGATCTCTGGGTGGTCCCGGCACGGTGTGCCCTCGGTATGAATGATCTGGCAGAGTTCGAGCACCTCCTTCAAGATGTGCGCCGTGGCTTTCCGGCCACGGATGTCAGTCAGAGACCCAGCCTGCGGTCTGAAACAGATCGAACGTCGAAATTAACAAACCTGTCTTCATTCAGCGATTGTTCGTCATTATCTTCATTTCCCTCACCTGCCATACTCCTCCTTTGAGAATTTCTGTTTCTCAAGGTTCAGGCCTGAGGTGAATGGATTTTTGCTCTGGGTGTCTTTGTGCTTATTGGCGTACTGGTTAAACATCGCCACCTTGTCGCTCAGCGATTCCTGTAACGTAAACGCAGCCATTTAAATTCTGAAGTTCGCCCAATGGACTTTTAGATTATTTCTCTATCGATCATTCTTTTATTTACTCGGCTCTGTTCATTCAGTTGGTATATCTCGAAATTAGAAACACGTCATGTGTCAAACAAAATCATTGAAGACATCGAAGAGGACACTGCGTACTTAATAAGAAGTACAAATGAAACTACCTGTAGTTAGCCTAAGGCAAAAGACACTTCGTGATCAGTAAAGAATAAATTTGTCAACGAGGCTTTGAACGAAGAAGAGGTAAACGAAGAAACATGGAAGAAAGTTGATGGAGGACTGACATCGCGCGTTGCTGGAGACTAGAAGAGGCTTCTAATCCCCTGTAGATCCGAGTGGGAAAGTATCCGTCACGAGTAATCGCGAAAGCAGCTTGAAAACATTGCGCATTTACAACTAGTCTAATTTAATAACAGAACTTTCAACGCTTCCTCTAGCAATGGTAAAAAAGAGTTCATCCAGGTGGCACGTGACAGGCTTACTTCTATCGAGGAATCCGAATCTAGAGAATCGTCGAGTTCTTCCGACATTTTAACTCCGAATTTCAAGATGTGTCAAGCAGCGAAGATGCAATGCAACTGTTAAAAAGGCAACGACGTTACTGGTAGCATGGTGGAAGAATGTTGGACGCTAGCCAACCTTGGACCGTTTAAAGAGCGGACCTGGCCATAAAAGACATCTGGATGGCAGAGTGACAAATTTTCGCGAACGCGCATATCTGACACGTGAAGTCGTTTTCGTGAATCAAGAAAAACGACCTCCTAATGGTGCCACGCGAGCACCGTCCCACGCGATCCCTACCAAAAATTTAGTCGACGTCACGACATTCTAAAAGATATTAGAAACTTTATGAGATTCCAGTGAAGGTATTCTCATAAAACGAAGATAGGCATCTCTCTCAGAGCTACTATTACAATTTTCTAATTAAGAGACGAGTTAAAATCTTGAAGGAAGTCAATAGTTCTACTGCAAGGACCTAACGAAGTGCGTGATGAGTGCCTGGAAAGGCGTATTTATGATTTGAACCATTTTGTCTGATCCATAAGTGACGCACTCTTCACGAAATCCCTCTGAGAGCAAACTATCAAAATTTTCTAATTAACATCAGACAACCTAATCAAAATCTTGAAGAAAGTCAATAATTCTACTGCAAGGACCTAACGAACTGCGTGACGAGTGCCTGGAAAGGCGTATTTATGATTTGAACCATTTTGTCTGATCCATAAGTGACGCACTCTTCACGTAACGTCCACAAATCTTCATGGTACGCAAACGCAAGTACACAAAAATAAAATGTTTATAAATTTTTGTAGATAGGCAACACTAGTTGACCAAAATGGCCATATTGACTATTCCCCCTCACGGATAGAACTTCACCCCCCTGCGTCTATAAAATCAGTCTTTAGGTCCATGGTTTAGTGTTAAGGATGGCACGTTGAAAATTGCAAAATAAATCCCAAGGTGGAAGAGACATGGTTGAGAAATGGACAAAGCAATAGAGGCGTTCAGTAGTACAGATCGACGCTTGGTCAGTCAAGTTCACTGCCAAGGCTACGATGTCCGCGTAAGCCGAGAGAGTCCGAGGCACAGAATACTCACATGCATGACTGAAGACATCTGCTTGGCCTTGGAAAACTTCAATCACAAACTACTGGAGAAGAGATATAATAACTAAACTGTAATACTGGTATTCAAGGAATTGGAGACGTCGCTCTCTCGATCGCGAGTTATCTTCGCGTTTCTCCCGTGTTAATGCACGGCGTCGGGACGCCGCGCGTCTTTTTATAAGATACCTGCTACGTCAACAGGCTCCCACCAACGAATTCCGGCTGGGCCGAAATATTTCCCACGTTTCCGTGCCAATTCCGCGGCAACCAGGCAACCGGAAATCGTCTACCCTTTTCCCATCGACTCAACGACCAGACAATTTTCGGCCATCTTAAAAAATACGTCGGTTTACTGATAAGTTCAACTTCACCAGGAATTCAATTCTTTATCTTCAGTATCACGATGGCAAACATGTTTATTTACAGTCTCTTCATCATCGAGCCTTGGTCAAAGCCTCGTTTTACGTAGAACGTCAATTTTCGAAGATCAAGGTCACTCCAAGGTCGTGTTATTATTTTGTACGTGCGCATTTGTACCATTAGGACATCCTGAATGTATTTTTCGATACACTACAATAATAAAAAATGTAGTTAGGTGAAGAACACCGATGACCTTGACAATTCTGAAAGAAATGACCTTCAGAGAAGGACATCCTTGCCGGATATTGATCCTTAGACATTATGCACACTACTTAAAGGATACTTTTCACAATAAGCTGAAGAGATATGTAGTTGGCCTTACTTAAAATGGCTACCTTGAAGTGGATAATTGCAAGTAACCCCCTGACATCGATGAGGACCAAAGACTAAGCCAGTAAACACAAAGACTAAAGTCATTACGAAGATGATTAGGGAAGAAATGAAGAAAACATTCTTACGGGATGACATTTTATTAATAAACGATCGTTCATTCAACAATTCGTAGATTCACGTTTGCCAAACACTCTTTGAGGAAGCCAGCGTTCGGAATTCGTCTTGGAAAAGAAAACACACAAACGAACGGAATTTAATTTCCGTCCTAGCCCCCGAGACTTTCAGCTAATTTTAAATCCAATAGAATTCCAGTCGCTGCACATGGCCACCAGTTAACGCGCATTTCATCAACTACATACATACATACATACACACTGTGCCTGTATCGTATAATTGTCGTCGATCACTCTTTCCCATTCATGCGTATCGAATTTCGTTTGATCGGCTCGTTAAGAGGTTCGTAGAACGCGAGGTCCGCTCGACACGTGCCTCATTCACGAATCCCCGAACGGGTTCCAAGTCTCGCTGGCATTCGGACAACGGCGAGGGCATTCCGATTCGATTCGGTATCCGTTTTATCGACAATACCCGAGAGTAAGAGTGGGCGAGGGACACGGCGCGATCTGATTTATGCCCGTCTCAACGTTCCTTAATGTCCGATCTAGCTCGTATATCGTCGCCATGTCAGTGACAAACCGTCCGCGGTGCGAAGTTAATTCGGGAGAGAGGCGATCCTTTCCTCGTTAACGGAATCGGCTAACCCGTTCCGAATTGGCACCGATTTTCCGCGACGGATTATTTCCTAAATCGTCAGCAGGACGTCTCGTGATCACCTGGCGCCAATTACGAATACTTTTCGTAGAAAAATAATTTGCAAAAATTCCTGGACTTTTTTTTACTATAGTTGCGATCGGACTTTCGGTTAACTGACCCACGCAACGCTTCATTCAACGTGAATCACGAGCGCGGCTGTAAACAGACGGCCTACGTACGCGGATTCTATTGAAAACTTGCGAATTCTGACGCATCGCAGGTAAATTTAGTGTAACGTCGTCCTCGAAATAACTAGGAGCCACTTGCGCGCTCGTACGGAATCCGGTTATCGTTCTTCCCCGACTACGACGCCGTCGTTGACGTAGACGTTCATTGATTCTCGCGACGCGATGTCTAATTCCGCGTTTCCGGCCCGCGACCACCACCTTTTACGGCTTCGCGACCGTTTTCTTCTTTCGAGCTAAAAGAAGAACCGGCAAACACCTGTTGCGTCTCGAGTAGTTGCTTTGTCTTCCTAAAGTCAAGCTTTATCGATCCCTTGAAGTATTTTAACGAGTCTGACTCGTGATCAGAATTTTGTATCACATTTCTCATGAATTTTGTACCAAATGTACCATGAATAGTCGAAATCTTGATCAGAATTTCATGATAAACTTGGACATCACGTGTCAGACTTCAGATCTCTGTCCTCATGTCCAATGAGAATGTGCAAAGTTTGCTACGAGCATGAAAAGTGGCGGGAAACGACCTGGTAAGACAAGGGATTAATCTGGACAGGATTTGTGCTTTTTGGATCAGCTCCATTGTCTATTATAAAACTAGGGATTCCCAATAGGTTTTTTGAAGAATAGATCCTTTTAAAAGAGGAGTATTTTAATTTTATTAATAAGCTTTTTGGAATCAATGGATTCTTGATTATGCTCGTTGGATGATGAACTAATTTATCACTATTGATATAGTTTATGCAGTGACGAGCACTCTAAATCCATCTAAGTAAGAGCATTCTTGCTCATCTTGACTTCTGGTCTTAGTTACTCATTCTTTTCCTAGTATTCCTATTCCTCCCCTGTTTTGGCCATTTTCTCTTTTTAGAAGAATAGTACTTACATAGTTTATTCAGCGAAACATACCTGAAATCTATGTAATAAGTAAGAACAGTTTTACTCATCTTCACTTCTGGTCTTACCTACTCATCCTCTTCCTAGTATTTCTATTCCTCCCCTGTTTTGGCCATTTTCTCTTTTTAAAGGAATACTTTTCTGTTTTTGAATTACCTTACTTTTCTGTTGTTAATGAGTTCTTTTTGCAATCAATGGAATCTTGATTATATCTGATGGATGACGAACTGATTTAGCACTATTGACATGGTTTACTCAGTGACAAACACCCTAAATTTGTATAACAATAAGTAAGAACAATCTTACTCATCTCAACTTCTGGTCTTACCTACTCATCCTATCCCTAGTATTCCTACTCCTCTGTTTTAGCCATTGTACCTCGATTACTCATAGTGACTAATTATAAAAACAACAAAAATTGCACAGTTAGACAGATTTCCAAAGTCCATGCTAGCTTACAGAGCTACGTCTAATAAAGTCCTGTAGTTTCAATTTAAGATCTGTTATATTTAATTCCAGACCTGGAGTTCATACCAATAAATGGGACCTCTTGATCACCATTGACCCCCTTGAAAATTTCATCGACCCTTGGTAATCCCTGTACTAAATCTCATTTATGAAGCATTTATTGTTCGACCTTCGGAACGGCTACTCCTACGTAGAAATTCTTTCACCCCTACCACAAGCTTTGAATACGATTCAGCGTGAAAACAGACGGAGTCAGAATACGAACACGTGCACGATATAAATAATTCCAAAACACGTTCCTGCAGTCGTACTGCGTCCAAATGAACTGCGAGGCTGTCAGGGATTCTTCTGATTATCCTACGAAAAATATTACCAACAAATCGTTGTAATTAATAATTAAAAGAAAATTGCTATTATTAGAAATGTGATAAGTGCTTCCTGACGATTTCCCAAATTGCGCAGCGAATTCGACGGAGGGTTTGGCAGCGGACATCGGAACCCGAGGTAATTAGGCGAATCCGCGTCAGTCGATTACATAATCGCGACGTATTCGAGTCATAAAATTGGTGAGATGACACTTTCCCGAATGGCGAAACGAGGATTGCTCATCGCGAGGAAGCTTGGTTATAAATAAATCTCGGTGAAAGAGCAGTTAAACAGCCGAAAATCGAACCGATTTCGGCTATTTTTCCATATAAAGTGAAATAATTCCCAAACTATGGCCTGGATCAAAATTGTACGTATCACACAGTCTTCAGACAGTCGAGACGAGAAAATTCAGCACGAAAAACCCATGATAATCGGCGTAGAAACAAGATTTTTTGACATTTAGTCGAAAACAGCCAGAAAAGCCTTGGGTGGTTTTCATAAATACCAGTAAAATAATTGTAAAATATAAAATATTTTATTGTGAATATATACAAATCGTTTTGAAACATGTGTTTGTCGGTTTTACAAATTTATATTTGTCCGATCGTTTGTCTTGGAAAAGTAAGCTCGACCGGGGAAGGCCGATAGCTGGCGCCTAAACAAGGTCGCGCGACGATTTACAATCTTTCGTTCGACGACCTGGCTCGAAATTCGTACTCGATGACGACCAGACAATGATACGTGCGCTTATGTACGATTAGTGATTAGTTCGAACATTCCTTACCTTCATACAATTTATGTCTTACACTCTAGAAGCTTAAATAATATTCTAAGGTACTAAGTGACGGTAGAAAAAGCTATTGAAATCGTTCAATCGAATCATAGATCGTAGAACCATGCGCGTTCCCGGACTCACCCTTATCGGGTCTCGAACGTTCCATCCACCCTCCGCGAATCGTAGCACCATTGGTAGAAGTGCACGTTTCTCCGGTCCCACTCGATTTCACCGCACGCTCCAGCGCGAATCGACGGGACCCTATCCAACAAACGGGAAGGGCGGATAGGCAACCGGTGGAGGATAGTAAGCCGGGAAGGGGGAGACGGTTGGGTGGATAGGGACAGTGGTCGTAACATACGTAGTGATTTCTGTGGGTACCACTCGACTTGAGAACAGAGTGGTATACGCCGTCTTGGCACCGAAGGTTAATTTCAATATTCTCGAATCCGAAACTGTGGCTAGAGTCTGAGTTATCAAAGGGGAGCTAGTGATCGTGAACTGCGGCTGCTGTTGGGGGAACAGCGGTAATTGCGGTGGCAATTGCGGCTGTATTTGAGGCTGGGGTAGGACAGGAGCGATCGTGGACGTTCCGTACTCGTAAGATGTCCGAGGAACGGTACCAACGGGCCTGGACAACGTCGAGTAGATCGTGTTCCCGTTGTTCACCACCGGAATCACGTGGGACTCGTACAGCGTGTCGAGGACCACCACAGGCCTCGAAGTGGTGATCACTTGTGGCTGTGGTTGTCCGAAGTATTTAAGCAGAGCCAGTTGATCAGGGGTCAATTGTGGTTCGGTGGTACTACTACTGGTGTCAGATTTCGTTTTCGATGGGGAAATGGATTTAAACGGTTCCAAATCGGAGTCCATATCACTGCTCGGTGCGACTACTCTCTTCGGTATGTCATCGTCGTCGCGATCGTCGTCGCCGACGTCTAACTCCAAATGTAACTCGCTTCCTGCTTCGTCCAGCTTCGAATTGAACTCGTTCAACGCCTTACTGGGTATGAACTGATAAACGTCCATCGGTGGCAATGTCTTCGTGGCAGTCACCACTCGTGCTATGTTGTAAGTTTGCACTAGAGTTAATTTCGTGGTCGTATTACCGCCGTGGACCACTGGAAGCAGGTGGGTTTTTAATAAAGTTTGAGTAGTGGAGAACGTCTCGGTTACGGTCTCTAGTGGCGGTGTTGCTTGACCGGATTCTAGGGTTATCGCTGGTAAGGTAGCAACGGCTGAGTCTAAAGGCAGCGTCGTTTCATACGCAGCAGCTGTGTTCGCTAGAATGTTCTCGGTTAAAGGCTCAGAGGCTAAGATCGTGCTTGAAGGATCTATGGTTGCGAAGGATTTCTTTTGCGTTGAGGTTACCGTGATGTAACGGGTATTCCTTAATGTTCCCACCTGCAACAATAATACAGGTCAATTTTAAATCGCTTAGGTTTAGCAAATGTCAATTTCTACTCACTGACTTCTTTTTATATATAATTTTCTGTAATATATAAATTTTTATAATCTAAATATAAATATATAAAGTATATAATAAGGTTTGGGATCTTATCAGTGAGCAGAAATTGGGATAGGGTGGACAGGAATTTATCTAGAATCTTCAGTGAACAGAAATTGAGACATTTACTGTATAAGGATCGTATTCTGCTACCCAAATTAAAACGAAATCACTCGAAAGTTCTATAGAAGTTCGACATCTTGCTGATTTACCGAGTAATCAGGTTACATTTTTTAAATGTTGGGTGAGTACATCATTTTTTTCTAGCTACGAGTCTGTCTCAAGTCTCAATCGTATTGATTAACGCCGATCAACTGTCCGGCGTACAACGATGCAAGTCGGGTTGCCTGATTTAGGCGCAGAAGCACAATCTTCATTTCTCACTAACTAATTAATGAAGTCTTAAACGTAATTTCGTCACTCTTGGTTTTTGTCTTCTTTTGGGTCGTCGAATACTATCGTAGGTTTTCACTTTGTATATTCCTACCTGGAAAGTGTATGGCGATTTGATAGTAGCTATCTCGAAGTAAACGTCGCTGGAGTCAGCAGCCGTGGAGATTTCTACATTAAGCGTCTCAACCGGTAAGATTTGCTCGGCGTGTTGATCTTGAACACTGACGCTGGCCACATCCTCGCTTTCACTCGGATCCAATTCATCGTCGATTACACCTTCTTGAATTTTTCTCTGAGCCGCTTGACCGGTCGTCGCGGTTGTCGCTGTTGTCGACGTAGAAACGGACGAGGCTGTGGTTTTCCCATCGTCGAGGTTGATCGAGCTTTCAGTCGTACCGGTTTCTAAAGTAGAGCGTTGCTCCTCTTCAACGTCGACCTGCTTACGAATCGCGATCCTGGGTTTAGGCGTCGTCTTGTAAGACCAGCGACCCTGGGTTCGCGGGAGCTTCAGTTTCGGCACTGGATTCGGGCTCACCGGTTGTTGATCGTTTTTGTTTTTATTAATTTGCTTCGAAGGCAAACTTGGTTGATTCCCTGGTCGGAAACCACTACGACGTCGCGTGACGGGTGGTTCCGTTGTCGTCGTCGGTGGACTGCGATTTCTACAAAAATTTCCAATCTCTCAATCATGTATTAGATAACAAAATGAACGCCATACTAACTTGTAACCCGATCTGGGAGTGGTGCTGCTTCGATTTTTATTCGGTTTCGTCTGCACTTCTCCACTGGCGTCGTAATCGTCGTTGATCTTGTTTCGAAACTTCGGACGCAACGAATTCGGATTAGCATTCTTCCTGGTGCTCCTCACCGTGGAACCTAAATCCGATATCCCATCTTTAGAATGAATGCTTCCTATTAAGTTGGGGAATAAGTTCATAGCGTTTTTATAATTTCTTTTATTTTACAACGATTTGTTTGCTGTTTGGCAACGGGTAAGTATTCATTCGATAGAACTCTTTCTGCTCTACAAAACTATGTTAATTGTATTTTTGAGTTATTTAATTTTTTATTAGTTTTCAGGCTTAGAAATGGAATACCCAGGAGGCAAAAATCAACATTTTCGACACCTGCTCTTCTTTGCTTTTCATCGAGGTCAAAAAGCTGCCGAAGCAGCCCGGGACATTTGCGACGTGTATGGAGAAGGTGTCATAGGCGAGTCTACAGCACGGAAATGGTTTGCAAAGTTAAAAAATGGCGACTTTAACGTCGAGGACTCGTCCCGCAGCGGAAGGCCTTCTGAATTCGATGAAGAACGTCTCAAATCACTTTTGAAGGAGAACGGTCGCCAAACCAGTCGTGAATTGGCGGAAAAAATGAACTGCGATCATAAAACGATTCTATAATTGATTAACTTATTGATATAATTATTGTTTTTTGTTTAAATAAAAGTCTTCGGTAAAAACGCTACGAACTTATTCCCCAAACCAATATATACGTGGCAAACGGAGACTCTCACCAGGCGCGTTGAACAGGACTTCCAATGGTAGCGAGGATTCTTCTTGCTGATTCGTAGGAGTGGGTTCTAGTTGCGGTTTCAGCTTTCCTTGCTGCGGTCCAATGGTTTTCAAGATCCGCTGCGTGCTGCTGGGACGGATCTTACCTTCGGGAATCGGTGGGGTACCGGAGAGTATTCTTGATGAGCTCTGAAGCACCTGGGCGTATTTCCCGTTTATGTATGTACCGATCACGCTCGTCTCGTGGACGGTGGTCAGTCCGTCTTTAACGATGGTGCCACCGAGTTTCGTCACGAGACCTGTTGGGTTCTCCTTGTCCCTTCGGCTCGTGGGCCTTGGCTTCGCCTGAGCTTTCGAAGATGGCCTCAAGTTGATCAACTGTAAGAGTTTGCGTTTCATATTTAGATATATATAAAGATGTTAAAAAGAAATCAGACGTCGGAAGAACAATGATAATAATAAATAGCTACGTGCTAAAAAGTATAGAAGGAAATATTCAATTAATTATTGACGCTGGCGAAATGTATTTTATACAGAAGTTGTAGCTATTGACGTGCTCTACACGAAAAGTTTTATGTATTTTTCTTCTAATTTGAGTATTTAACGAGTTAAGTATGATTATTTGGCATTTTATTGATGTTGACCAAATCCGAC